AGCAGCCACTGCACTCCAGTCTGGGTGACAGAGTGAGACTCCAATTAAAAAAAAAAAAGACTACTTCCAGCTGCAGCAAATCTAACAATGCCTTAAGGATTAATGATATCTAATTGTCTTGCATCACAAGAAATCTCCTGGTAGACAGGCCAGGGCTGGTCCGGGACTTCCCAATGTCCTGAAAAACCCAGGCTGTGTTTCCACTCCTTCCTTAACAGGATGGCTAGACACAAGGTGGCTGCCACAGTTCCAGACATCACATTTGTGTTCAGAGAAAGAAAAGTGGGGAAAGGTATGGCCAGACTCATAAGCCCTTTTGGGAAAGTGAAAGCTTTCCCAGAAGACTTGCACTTATAGCCATTGGCCAGAACTGTGTCACGCGGCCACCAAGATTGAGTGAGAGACCCGGAAAGCAAGTACGTAAACTTTGTCTATGATAGTGGAGGCAGGCGAGGGAGAAGGGACTGGCAATGTGTATTGGACCGGCCAGCCAATAGTGATACCTTCCACACTATTTGACATCTTTTCCCTCCGTTTTCACTATTTCTACCTGTGTATAATACATATATTTTTGCCTCAGGCTGTCACATTGAGAGAAACATGTAGAGAAAAGCATATTAACACAAACTTATTTTTTCAAATGCCACCTTTTGGAAATTCCTGATAATGTGCTTGTTCTCCCTCAGCACCATGTCTAAGATGATAATGGTGATCATGCCAGTGCCTTTATGTCTGCACAGCATATGTTTTGATTCAATCATGATCATTGCTTTCAGCCTGTGCAGCTCAGATGAGGATGATTCTGCTTTCCAGAACTACCTTCTAGGCTTTTTGGGAGACTGTCATGAGCAACACTTTTTCTCTGAGATTATACACCATAAGAACTATGAATACCCAGTTTATAAGGAGCCAAAAGCAAAGAAGCAATAATCCTCAAGCATTTATTTGAACCTCTGTTTCTAGCCAGGTCAAAACCCTTTGCATCTCGCAGTTACACAAGCTAATACATTCCCTTTTTCACTTTAAGTTGATCTGCTTTTACTCAGAGTCCTGCCCACTATACTTAGAAATGAAGTGTGTGAATAAATGATGCCTAGATGAGAAAGCTTACTCGTGAGCTTTGGAGGATGGAGTCTGCACCTCACATATTCTATGCCCAAAGTTAGCCAGGCTGGAGTGCAGTGGCACACTTATAACCACCGCAGCCTCGACCTCCTGGGCTCAGGTGAGCCTTCCACCTCAGCATCCAGGTAGCTGGAACTACAGGCGCATGCCACCATGCCCAGTTAATTTTTTATTTATTGTAGAGATGAGGGCTCACCAAGTTGCCCAGGCTGTCTCGAACCTGTGAGCTCAGGCAATCCTCTCACCTCGGCCTCCCAACACGCTGGGATTATAGGCATGAGCCACTGCGCCTGGCCATTTAAACTTCTTTTTTGAGATATAATTCACATATCACAATTCACCTTTTTTTCCTTTTTATTTATTTCTTTTTTTTTTTTTTTTTTGAGTCAGAGTCTGTTGCTCAGGCTGGAGTGCAGTAGGATGCTCATGGCCCACCACAGCCTCAACTTGCTGGGCTCGGTTGATCCTTCTGCTTCAGCCTTCCAAGCAGCTGAAACTACAGGCATGCCCCACTACGCCTGGCTAATTTTTTTTTTTTAATTTATTGTAGAGATGAGGTCTTGCCATGTTGCCCAGGCTGGTCTTGAACCCCTGGGCTCAGGCAATCCTCTCGCCCCCACCTCCCAAAGTGCTGAGATTATAGGTGTGAGCAATACAGTTCACCTATTTAAAGCACAATTTGGAGCCAGTGCAGTGGCACCCTGCCACTCAGGAAGCTAAGGCAGGAAGATTACTTGAACTCAGGAATTGGAGGCTGCAGTGAGCTATCATTGCACCACCGCACTCCAGTGTGGGTGACAGAGCAAGACCCCATGTCTAAAAAAGTGGAAAATAAAGTGCAAAATTCAGAGATCCTGAGGACAAACACAGGAGAGAAGGTTATGTGAAAATGGAACTAGAGAAAAAGTGAGATGTCAAGCAAAGGAGCACCAAGGATAGCCACAGGTGCCAAAAGCTAGGAAAGAGGCATTGAAAGGGTTCTCCTCCTTCAGAGTCTCCAGAAGAAGCCAAGCCTGCTGACACTTTGAGCTTGGACTAAAGGCCTCCAGATCTTTGAGAAAATACATTTTTGTTGCTTTGAGCCACAAAAAAATAAAATAAAAATAAAGTACACAGTTCAATGGTGTTCGTTCACAGTTGTGCGGTCATCAACATGATCTACCTTTAGAACATTTTATCACCCAAAAAAGAGACTCCCTACCCATCCGTAGTCATTGCTCCCTCAGTCCCAGGCCACCACTAATCTTTGTCTCTACAGATTTGCTATTTTGAGCTTCTCCTGTAAATAGAGTCATACAATGTGTGATCTCTCGTAACTGGCTTCTTCTACTGTAGCATGTACCAGTCCAGTTCCTGACACTCCTTTTATGGGTGCATATTATTTCGTTGTGTAGATATGTATCACATTTTTTTAATCTATTCATCAACTGATGGACATTTAGGTTGTTTCTACTTTTTGGCTATCATGATTAATGCTGCAGTGAACATTTGGGTACAACTTTTGTATGGACATAATGTTCATTTCTCTCGTTTATACCTGGTCATCCAGTAACTCCACGTTTAACTCTTTGAGAAACTACCAGTTTTTTCCAAAGCAGCTGTACCATTTTACATTCCCATGAGCAAAGTATGTGGGTTCTAATTTCTCCCATATTCATCAACACTTGTTATTGTCTGTTTTGTTCATTACAACCATCCTAGTGAATCTGAATTATAACTTTTAATCATATTTGACCAAAACCAAAATATAAATTGGCATCTTCAAGATTTCTGTCCTGCGAACATATAAAACATGTCTACATCTCTAAAAATTAGAGTTGAAGCTGCATGCAGTGGCTCACACCTATAATCCCAAAGCAAAAGGTCACTTGAGGCCAGGAGTTTGAGACCAGCCTGGACAACATAGCAAAACCCTGTCTCTACGAAAAATAAAAGAATTAGTGGCACATACCTCTAGTCCTAGCTATTGGAGAAGCTGAGGCGGAAGGATCGCTGGAACCCAGGAGGTTGTGACTTCAGTTAGCTGTGATCCTGCCACTGCACTCCAATCTGGGCAACAGAGTCAAACCCTGACTCTAAATAAATAAATATTAGAACTGAGAAGATAACTATGGAATCTTTAATCTTACCTTCAGTGATCTTTGAGGGGTAAACAGTAGATTTGGAGGGAAATATTAGAAGAACTGAAATAAGAGATTATTTATTTATTTATTTATTTTTTGAGTTGGAGTCTCACTCTGTCACCCAGAATGGAGTGCAGTGGCCGCTCCCGGCCACCGCAGCCTCGACCTTCTGGGCTCCGGCCATCCTTCCGCCTCAGCCTTCCAAGTAGCTGGAACTAGAGGTGCGCGCTACCACACCCGGTTAATTTTTTTGATTTTATTGTAGAGATGAGGTGTCGCCAAGTTGCCCAGGCAGGTCTTGAACCCGCGGGCTCATGCAATTCACTCACCTCAGCCTCCCAAAGGTGCAGGATTACAGGCTGAGCCGCCGAGCCTGGCGAAATTATTTTAATACACAGGGACTTTAATTTGTTTTTGTTGTTGTTGTTGGGTTTTTTTGAGATGGAGTCTCACTCTGTCACCCAGGCTGGACTGCAGCCACCACAGCCTTAACCTATGGGCTCAGACGGTCCTTCCACCTCAGCCTTCCAAGTAGCTGGAACTACAGATGCACGCCACTACACCTGGCTAATTTTTGTGATTTATTGTAGAGACGAGGTCTTACCAAGTTGCCCAGCCTGGTCTCGAACCCCCAGGCTCAGACAACCCTCTCGCCTCGGTCTCCCAAAATGCTGAGATTACAGGCTGAGCTACCGTGCCCGGCAAGGGAATTCAGTTCTATCAGCATCTCAGTAGTAATTTAGGAAATACAAAATTTAAAAACAAAGATATTTATGACCATCAAATTGAGAGCTTAATAATACACAAGATTGAGAAATACAATGTTGGTGATAGTGTGGCTAAATAGTTATTCAAATTGGTAGTATGTAAACTAGCAATTATTATCTCTTGGAATAATAAAATGTTGACAGTATTAAAATACAACAGTGAACCTATATAGCAGCCTCATTTTGAAGAATCTATCCTATACAAAACCTCGCAGGGATGTGTCAAGATACAGCTTCCTCAACTGGGTGAGGTGGCTCACACCTGTAATCCCAGCACTTTGGGAGGCCGAGGCCAGAGGATTGCCTGAGCTCAGGGGTTCGAGACCAGCCTGGGCAACTTGGTGAGACTTCCTCTCTACAATAAATAAAAATATTAGCCAGGCGTGGTGGTGTGTGCCTGTGATTCCAACTACTTGGAAGGTTGAGGCAGAAGGATCCCATGAACCCAGCAGGTCTAATCTGCGGTGGCCATGAGTGTGCCACTCACTGCACTCCAGCCTGGGCAACAGAGTGAGATTCCAACTAAAAAAAAAAAG